TTTTTTTTTTTTTTTTTTTTTTTTTTTTTTTTTTTTTTTTTTTTTGTTAACTTGAATTCATATCAAAACAAAAGCTATTCAACAAGAAATCATGATATGAAAAGTTGAAGTACTCAGAAAAACCATCAGAGAAAAGGTGAATGTCTTTCCTATTAATGCTGATATTGAGAAAGTACCTCTATGCCTCTGAGACTCCAAGAGATGCTGTCATCATAAGCAAAAGCAGATCAGTGCTACAAAAGAAGACCAGCTTTTTATCTCCCAGGAATAGCAAATGGCATTTGGTGATGAATCCAGAAAAGGCAAAGGAAAATAGATGCAAAAATTAACATACTAGAAAATCATTGAACTTCATCAGCATCCACAAAAGGCAAAGGAAAAATATACGACAAAATTAACACAATGAAATCATTGGACTCCATCCTAAATGTAAAGCATCTTTATGCTGAACACTAAGATGAGAAGTTTGTATTCATTGAAGAATATGCTTGCATTTTACTCTCTATCACACATACCCAATCCAAAGGCTGCAATAAGAACAACTCAAGTTGATTGCATGAGGGAAGGATCCAAGTCAGTCAAAAATGGAGGCGTTAACTTGTCATAACACCGCATGTAAAAGCACACATGGTCGGTCAGAGAACTTATGAAATGTTGTGAATCAAAAGTCCACACAAACTGAAAAGTAAGTGAAAATAATTCACATGCAATAGACTAATGAAGATATTTTAACATTTCTCATTGAGATTATATCGTACAATCAATTGTTTCTCCAATTTAATGAAGAATCCGGAAGCAATTTCAAATAGCACCATATGTTGAATTTGTTGTTTTTAGTGATGGTTCCATAACAAAAGGAAGCAATCACAGAACAATCTTTATTTCAAACTCAAAGGAACAATGGGACAGTAAGATATGAAGCCAAGACTCTGTTGATAACGTTAGACTGGTCGTTATTTGGGAGTAAACTTAGTATCCAGGAATAAGATACTCTTAAACCAAGTAACTCTTACAAGATTATAATCTACATAAAAAGCTGAAACTCTTATTTCCATCTAGATGGTGGTGTACCATCATATCAAGTTGAGGTAAAAATGCAACAAAAATAATCGAGGAAAAAGAAAAAAAAGATGTCAAATAGCTTCGGATGATGACATTGTGACACAGAAGTTAAACATCCTTCTAGAGGCCATCAAGAGTAACAGGTTGGCGCAAGAACCTCTCCATTTGACGTGCCCGGGTTTTAATAGACACGTCAAATACTTTCTCGCTGAATTCTACAATTAGACCACCAAGTATGCTGGGATCAATCTGGCAAATACAAAAGCACGGTTAGAATTTCTCAAAAGGCATGCAGCTACATTCACAAAATTCAAAACCTAAAACATTTCCAACCGACGTACCTTTTGCTCGAGCTTAACCTTCTTGCCTTGTCCAATAATATCTTGCAATGTCTCCTTCAGTTCGTTCTCTTCTTGTGGTGGAATGGGCTGGTAAAAAACCAATCAGTTATCATGTGCATCGAGTACTACTTCAATAAAAACCCTCTAATTTTAAATGTCATTACATTTACTTCAAGTATTGTCTCTTGACATTTTCATCCGTGATCAACGAATTGCCAGTATCAGTAAGCTAAAAATAGAAATAAAAATGGAAGTAAAGAATTTGACAAGGCTCCCAAGACACATAGAAAAGGCATCCCACGACATCCACAAATCAGTTGCTGAATTTAAATAGGTCATACTTTTATACATAAATATCACTTTTGCATAAGTTTATGCTAAACGTATTCGATCACATTGCACGCTGAAGTTCATAGATAAGAATCTGATTTTTACCTAGATTTAAAAATAAAATAAAATAAAACAAAATGGAAAGTGAAAGTGAAAGAGAAACTTACAATAACAGTTGTAACAACTGCTTTAACTTCTCCCTTATGAGCCATAGTCAACTCCAAAAATCTCTTTGCTATGCTATCTATATATCTCAGCCTCCCATTCTCAGCCAACACAACTACAATAAATAATCAGAATAATTCCAGGTAAGAGAATGCATGTAAGCCTGGAATTGATGCATTTTAATTGCCAGTATCAATGATTGCACAGCATGAGTACTTCAGCCATTAGAACCAAATGTAACTGCTTGAGTCAAGGGAATAAAAAAAACAGAATCAACCATCTCAAAAATCCTATAGAATAAAACTCACTTCTTCAATCATGAAAGGCAAAAATCCTCAAACCTCTCAAGCCAAATCTATATAGGACATGAAATGATGCAATTAAGATTTGACAATTGGCATAGAAAAAGAAATACACATTAACAGACAGACTGTTCAGCATGATGTGGACCCAATTGTGAGACGGAGGCATTGTAATAACTGATATCAAAAACCAAAAGAAAAATACATTTTTCATCCGCACAACTAAAAAAGTGTAAACAATCCTACCCAAAAAGTTCTTAACAACGTCTGAAAATTTTGCTTCAGCAGAAATTTCATTGATAGCTTTAACTCTAGTCTCCGCTGGAACTGACAGGTCCATTGTGAACTGAGCAAATATAGGACTTTTCTTAATAGCCTCAACGAGGTTAAAAAGCTCAGACTCCACCTTGTCTAGAGAATTAGCTTTTATTGCAGCTATATACAAAGCAGAGGCATAGTTTCCAGACCCTCCAAACAAAGCAAGAGGCACCTGAAATGCAGCAAATAAGAAAGCACGCTTGTAAATGAGAATTCCAGAAAGAAACATACCTGGCGCATGCACTATGAGTTCAAAAGAGGATATCTAATAGTAATTCTGAAAATCTATTCGGGAAAACAAAATATGATGAGGAAACCAAAGTAATTGTTCACCTACCTTCACCTTTTGTTCATGTTTCCCTGATGTAGCGGCATAAGTCCTTGAGAGCTGCAGCCAGTTGATAAGCACATTATTGAAGTGATAAACCATACTCAATACAAAATCAGAGAAACGGTCAAGAAACCAGCTTTATTTACACCAGCATTAACCGATTCAGAAGGAAAACTGATAATAGAATCTGCAAATACCTCATGAAATTTGTTTAGTCCTCGATTAAACATGGAAAAAAAAAAAAAACTGACATTTCCTATTTGCTAAGAATGCAACACCAGCCAAAACATTATTCCCTAATTTTACCAGTTTATACAACTTCCACGTCTATCCTAACCTGTCACTAGAAGTAACCAAAAAACCTATTCCCTATGTGTTCCAAATCAAGCGAATTCAACATATACAGTGCACAAGCTCAGATAATCAGCATTATCTCGCCCCGATCATGATTCTCTTTTCCAGGCGACCAAATAGATAATAAATTCATAAAATCCTAAATCAACAATATAGAATACAAGACCTCCACATTTCGCCACAAATCCGGCATCGATGAGGCCAAAAAAAAAAAACCCAAGGATAAGCATATTCACAATCCAAAACCGGAAATAACTATGAGCGACTGAGAAGATAAATAAGCGAGGAGTGGTAGGTGTACCAGTACCGGAGTGCAGGACGATTCATTTCTCAAAAACTTGCTGAGGACGGGGATGGTGGATCGCAATCGACTAGCCAACGCCATTTGGCAGAAACTGATTGAAGTGATTCAGCTATTGGTCTCTTTGTTCTCTTTTCTTTACTCTCGCTAAATGGGATAGTAGTTGTCTTTCTCCTTCACTCAATCACTTGTATTCTCCTCTTCACTCAATCACTTGTATTTCGAGTTAAATGTGCAGAGACTAAGAGATGCTCTGTTCCTTTCCTTCAATTCAATCTTCTTCTGTGTAGTTGAGGATTTGGATGTGTGTTTTGGTTCGAGAGTTTAATTGTGCTTATGCATATATATTTCAGAAATTTTATAGGAAAATTTAGTTCCTGATCTGATTTCTTGGCATCTTGCTCGTAATTTGATGTTTGATACTTTGTTCTTTGTTTCTATGTTTCTCCCCCAATCCAAACGAACTTAATTGATGTAATGTTGATGAATTATAAAAAATGGCAGCTCTCTAGACTAATTCGCGAGAATTGAAGAATAGCATCTGAACTAAGTAAGAGTAAGAGTAACATGTTAATAGATCAACATTCAAACACAATAGTTTAATATTCAAAAAAAAAAAATTATGATCACTCAAACACAAATTAACACAAACTAATTTATAATTGTAACATCTTGTAATTAAATACAGTCCCTTATCAATTAGAAAATACAATAATAGATCCTAAATTTAGAGTGCCTTAAATTATCTAAAAAATCATAAAAATATAAAATGAATGTTGCAACAAATAAATAATATATAAATTAGAGCTTGTGAATTTTAGAATAAAATTTTTAATTTCAAACCCAATTTCCAAAAATTCCCTAATTTTCCCTCCACGAATCGGCCTCTTCTGGTTTCCCTGTGAATCAGGAAGGTTTTTCTAATTATAGCTCTGCAATTCAAGATCAAAGGATAGAGGAACTAACCATCTACCGAAAATCGCTCGAGTTTCCACCTATAAATTCCATGGATTCCATATCATTTCATCAGGCAGCAATCTCCAAAGCGAAGGCGTTTTCGGTGATTGTTGAATCGTTCGAGTTCCTCGTCACCGGATAACGCCGCAACCAAACAACAAAAAATCGCAATGGAGATGAAGAAGATCACCTGCGCCATTCTCTTCGCTGCCGCAACCGTCAGCGCCGTCGTTGCTCATGATGAGGCAGCGGCTCCAGCACCTGGACCAACCAGCGGCGCCACCGCCGGCCTTCCGGCAATCGGCTCTCTCATCGGCGCTTCGTTGCTCTCCGTCGCGGCCTACTACTTGCAGTGATCAGAAGAATTGGCTTCAAGCGGGGGAAGGGAATGAGTGGAGTGGGAGAGTATTGGTTCATGTGTTGATATTATTTAGTTTATGGGTGCGATTATTGGCAGATTTTATTTAATGAGAATAAGTTTATATAATCAATAATATTTTTTCTTTTTTTTATTATTATTATTATTATTTTTTTTGTTCTAAAAAATTAATTAATTAGATATTTAAATAAATTGAAAAAAAAATCACAAGATACCTTAATAATAGTTTATCTTTTCAGCGCTCGTCATCTAGGGTGCAACATTCCACTGCTTTGCCTATTACTAATTTCTAGACTAAAATGCTTTCAGCTGTTGGACTCTCGCTATCTACGTTCTGACCCATGTAGCATGGTTCATGTGGAATCCTGTGTGAATCAACAAGGACCACCTTGCGAGGCTAAATACTTGAGTGACAAATAGTGAAGTAGTGGGAGGAGATCAAGACTCTGGCCGCGCACCTCACGAGGATCGACTGATAGGCATTATTTGAGAACAAAATATGAAAAAAATTCTTAATGATAAGCATCAAATTATTTACAGAATTACATGTTAGAGGATACAAGTTGCTATCTAGAAAAATATATTTTCATCGATCATTCATTTTGTAAATTGAAAATATTATGGGAAGTCATCAATACATGTAATTCTGTAAACGCATTTACCAAGATGGTGGCAATTTTGTAATTTAACTTGGTTAAAGTTATATATACTTATATTTTAAAGTTGGTAAATATTATTGCTTTGTATATTTAAGTAATTAGTGTTTAAAACATTTAAATTTGAGTTCGAAAACTCATGGCTGCTGGCATTGTATGAGATAGCTCCAATGCATGCCATGGTTGCTGGCTCTGCATTACCTTCTACTGTTGCCTTTGCTTTCAATACTGTATTGGCCTCTTGTTGGCCTAAAATGATTTGTAAGGTGTCACAAGCGCATTTTTGATGGCAGCGGACTTGCGATGCGGCACTCACTTTTCAACGATAAGTGAGCTAAGTCAATTTGTTCTTACGTCGCATACGGCCAAGCGACGCATGCTCGAGCCTCTGGCCTCGGTTTAAGATTTTAGAAAACGAGGGTAGAGAGAGATTTTCGAAAGAGACGCTATATAAGCAAGCAAGAGAGTAACAACAACGGTTCGATTATTTGGGCAGGAAAAGTTGACAACTAGTCATAAAACAACGGCGATTCACAGTATATTTGGGTAGGGGAGAAGTTCAACTAGTCATATAAGACAATATATTTGGATAGGGAGAAGTTGACAAGTAGTCATGAAAAGTTCAACTAGTCATATAAGACAATATATTTGGATAGGAAGAAGTTGACAACTAGTCATGAGTAACAACATCGCTCACAGTATATTTGAGTAGAGAGAAGTTTATACATTCTGAGGCAATTGACAACTAGCATTTCATGTCTGTATTTGGGTAGAGAGAAGTTGAAACTAGTCATATACATTCTGAGGCGATTGACAACTAGTCATATACATTCTGAGGCATTTCATGTCTGGCAGGCCTAAACATAATTTTTCCGAAACATGGAAAGACATGAAGGATTTGGCTTGTCATGGGCATGCGGCCATAGACAATGCCCATGACAACACACCTTGGACGAGCATGACTGTGACACGTGGCTCACCATGCAAAAATACAGGTACAGAGGCATGCTGATACGCAAACAAGGTAAATTTATTCATTCATTTTCTTCTCATGTAAACTCTATTTTTCTTTTTCTTTTTTTCATTCTCTCTTCTGTCACATCAGTAATAAAAATTACAAAACATCATAATATCCGTTAAATAAAAAAGATAAAAAAAAAAAGAAAAAACGTCTAGTGTTACTCTATACACAAATTTTAATCTAGTAGCTGAATTAGAATTCTGAATGGGAGAGGGGAACTTAAAATTAAGAAATCATCTGAACCGCCATCATGAGTTTCCAAGCAACTCACCAATATCCATTCCTCGATGGAAACAAAAAAGAAACATTCCTCCTACAAACTGCTAAAACTTTCCTTCGTTTCCTTTCTCAGTTTCCTCCACCATGATGCACGGAGAATCAAGAACCACCAAAAAAAAAAAAAAAAAAAAAAAATTGTGGGGGTCATACTTGATCTTCGTGATTCTCTTTCGCAAAATAATTTTGAACAATTTCTTGAGGAGAAAAGAACTCTCTCAATCAAGTGTTTCCTACTTGTCTGCTGGCTTAGGCTCTGTTCGAACGTAGGTGAGACTACGAGCACCAGTTGAGGGTACAGATATACCATAGAGAGAAGCACCATTATCAGTAGTTGTGGTCTGACTATCCCGTTTCCATTGCATGCTCCTGGCTCCAAGTTTGATGGGGGGACGAGGCCTAAATCCACCGGGAACGCCCCGTGGGAAAGGAACTCTGCTAAATCTAGGAGTAGGATATGGTGAGCCACGCACAGCACGAGGCCAGGTAACAATTGAAGCACCTTCTGGTTGTGATGCATTTTTCCTTGCGACCTGCATTGACAAATCAACCAAATATATGTAGGTTTATTAGTCGAATCCAACACTGTGGATTCTAATCGATCCGACACTGTGGGTTCCAATCAATCTTTCGACTAAGTCACATATCATGCTAGTATTGTCTTGTGGGGTTTTAGCATCAACATAAAAATGTTACAATTATAATACCAGTGAAAGAACTAGTTAAAACCAAATGCAGCCAAGACTGTAGAATATTTTTCTTGATGAGAAACCGAACTTTCATTAAGATATATGAAAGAACAAAGGTGGGCTAAACAAAAAATAAAGCAGCCCAAACTGGAAGGAGCCTGCACAGTTTTTATGTTTGCTTCTAGATGTCTACTGCCATTTTTTTCATTAAGAAACAGTCATTACTGAACTCTCGATCTCTGCATAGTTAGGCATGGAAACACCAGTAAAAATTCACTGATTAAGTGAAAAAAACCCATAAACTTGAATAACAATCCAGTTAAAAAATAACTGAAAAAAACATCAGCAAACAAGGCCCAGAACACTATATACACGTGAGATGTGAACTGGCCCACACAACTATCGAACCAAAAGAACATTGGACTCATTTAGAAAACCAATGTTAACTGCAGGACTTGAAGAAAGAAAGCTAAAAAACTAAAAATGTGAAGTTTATGAACATTTTTTTTTTCTTTGGGTGATGATTCATACTAGAGAGCAAAATGTCAGAACTAAGACTGGTACCTTAAGAATTCTAGACAAAAACGATGTCCCATCAAGAGACAATGCATTCTCTGCGGCTTCCTTTCTCATGAACTCCACGTAAGCCGACCTGCTCCAATCGCATTAATTAATTTATTGAAAAGTAACAAAGGAAAATTTGTCGTCTACAGTAGAGGTAACAAAAAGAGATAGCTGAGGTACAATAAACCATTGTAATGCCTTACCCTTTGGGTTGCCCGGTGGTTGCATCGGTTACTATAATGACTTTTACCACTTCTCCAAACTTGTTAAAATGCCTAGACAGACTATCCTTTGTAGCAGCAAAGTGAACCTGTAATTGAAAATTAACGTAAGGTGATAAACAGTCACCAGTTCTTCATAGAAGCAACAAAAGGGTGATTTTATTACATTGCTAACAAAAATGGTTCGAGCATCGGCATCCTCTAAAGGGCGAGTGGCAGCAAGGCCTGCATAAGGTAAAATGAGAAAATTATATAGAATGAAAAAGCCACTGAAGAAAATAAAGTAAGATCCCGGAATGACAACGGATTGTTGACAATCATACACGGGGACAAAATTGAAAGAGAAACCTCAAAAAGAGAAAGAAAAAGAGATAAACAAAAGCACCGTACAAACTAATTATCATTTTAATAGCAGAGCCAGAGACCAGAAAAGAGAGCCCACCATTAGCAGATGGTTTCTGGAACTCTTTTTGAAGGTGTGCTGCAGGCTTTTTCTGTTGGTTAACAATAGTGACTGGCTCGCCATTCTCCGTTACTTTCACAGCAGATCTGGTACCTCGTAACTCACTCTCCTGCAAAAACTTTTGACCACCAGATTCAGCAATTTGCCCTGGGTCTTGATAGTGAGGCGGTTTCCAAGTATTAACATTCACAGAGATATTTACAATGTCACGTGAGGAATTTGCAACTAAGGAAGGTTGATGCTTCTGTTTGTATTTTGTCATGCGTTCATCATCAACATTCTCAACTACTCTGAATGGTGCAGTCCGCAAATTGCCTCCCTTTCTTACTCCTGATTCTGCAGTCCAAGAATCATCAAATACTTTGTGGCCCAGAATAGTAACATCTTCACTTTCAGATGTAGAATCTGATGCTAATCCAGTTTCAGCATCGAACATGGCCTCAATGGGAGTATATTTCCCACTATAATTGCTACTCTCAAGATAGGTGGCAGAGTATGGTCGATCTTGTGTGTGATTCATATCCCCATATTTATGGTCCTCTACAGCCGTTACTCCATATTCTGCAACTTGACCACTGGACTCTTTTGAATCCACATCACGAGATTGACGACCAAGTCGATCAAAAACACTGGAGGATTTAACTCTTATCACATCCTCAGCTGCCTCCGACACAGCCTTAATAACAGTTGCCATGGGATTTGGCACTTTTGCGACGGATTGAAGCCGCCTAGGATGACTAGTTGTGTCACTTTTGGACGTAGAAACTACCGAACGAAGACGCTTTGAGAGGGGCTCCTTAGCTCCATTAGAGGGCTTCACGGTAGCAACAGCATCTCGCATGGCAAACTGGAGCAGCCGCCTAGGGGCAGCAATGCTTACCTGAAAAGCTGCCTCTCTCTGTAAAACAAGAAACGTAAGAAATTGTTCCCATTAGAAAAATGCATTAATAAACCATCCAATACCCTGGACTATGTTATTTTAAATGACAAAAAATCAAAACTTGGGTAGTTAAGTAGAGCATTCAAGCTATTTCGCACAAAAAAGTTCAAAAAAACAAATCAAGCATACTTCATGGTCTCAAAATTCAAAAAGTACAGTGAGCAAAATTATGGCACAATACTTCATGTTTCTGGTTTACCCTTTATATGAATTAAGATTGAACTGCAACCCTGATCATTACCTTCCCATTAAACAAATATTAAAATCCAATATAGTTATGTATTGC